TCCAGGCTCTGCTTCAACGCCTCTGGTAAAGGGGGAACCTGCCTGCCTCATTGGTTCCACTGTTGATGGAATCTCAAATAGGTGATTTTGTGTCCTGCTCTCTGGAAGGATGGAGAGCAGGTTGGGGGCTTCCTCTGGGGGACATCCCTTTGGGTAATTAAAGAGGGTTTTTATATCCCCCTTCTGTCTCCTCTGCTTAAGGTTCAGCACCCTGCTTAATTCCTAAGATTAAGATGGTTTGCAAGCCACGTAGCCCCTTGCATTTGATTCCTGTTCTCCGAGTTCTTAATTTTGCATTTGGCTCTTGGTTAATTTCAACCTATTGCTCTAACTTCCTTTCCACAGAGGATCCATTCCACTCCACAACCAGAAGCCCTCTTGGCTCTGCAAAAGAACTCCTAGGAAAAAAATAGATCTCCTTTGGATCCACCAAGGCAACAGATATTCCCCGAGACTTAACCGGTATTTGAGGTCCACAAAAATGGCAGAACAAGATGGCCGACCACTTCGAACCCTCCACCGTCCTCAATCTGAAGGGGGTGGGGTGCGGTGGGGAAGCTAAATGATGCTTGCTTTCCCCCATGGAAGCTGAGGAAACTCCACAGCCTTCTTGCAGGGTTTTGAAAAAGGCTCCTTCCCTTGGAGCGCAGGCTGTCTTCCTCCCCCCCTGAAGTGCAGCCTGACGTCCTGCTCAGCGAGAGGAAGCTATCAATTTCTTGGCAAGGAGGAAGCCAGCTCTGAAAATACAGCCCCTTTCTGACATGTAACCGAGAAGGCCTTGTTTACAGCTCAAGAAGGCGATGATAAACGCGTCTCATCGGGTCACAGTGACCCAACGCCGCCTATTTTTGTTCCTCTCCATTCTGCGTTTGGATGTCGCCCTCTGAGCCCTGGCACGGACGCCGATCTCCTTGGCAGCCCCTGACATGTCATCTCAAAGTTTTCAATCAAAACACACTTCATGCCTCTCTGCGGGTCCCTCCCCGCCCAAGGTCAGCGGAGATGTTGGCAGCCGGCAACTCTCTCCGACTTGAGTTCCAGGAGGGCGCCTGGGAGAGACGCTTCCTAGAAGGAAGCATGAGACAAACAGGTGTTTTTCTTCTGCCAAGAGAGGCACAGAATGTCCACCTTTCCCTCTAGCTGGGAGCTTTAACGTACCTGCCACAGGTGATCTTTCGGTCTGGGGCAAACTACAAGGACATCGTATGTGACCAACATCATTGCATTAATTATATCATGTCATGTATGAAGGCCCATGATGCATGGGGTGCCAGTTGGCAGAGGCATGTGGAAGGGGGAGGGGAATCTGGCAGTAGTTCGGAGAACCGGCAAATACCACCTCTGGCTGGCCCCAGAATGGGGAGGGATTGGGGATTTTGCAGTACCCTTCCCCTAGAGTGGGGAAGGGAATGGGGATTTTGCAGTACCCTTCCCCTAGAGTGGGGAGGGAATGGGGATTTTGCAGTATCCTTCCCCTAGAGTGGGGAGGGAATGGGGATTTTGCAGTATCCTTCCCCTAGAGTGGGGAGGGAATGGGGATTTTGCAGTATCCTTCCCCTAGAGTGGGGAGGGATTGGGGATTTTGCAGTACCCTTCCCCTAGAGTGGGGAGGGAATGGGGATTTTGCAGTACCCTCCCCTAGAGTGGGGAGGGAATGGGGATTTTGCAGTATCCTTCCCCTGCCACGCCTACCAAGCCATACCACACCACGCCCACCAAGCCACGCCAACAGAACTGGTAGTAAAAAAAATTGGATTTCAATACTGATTGGAAACAGAACAACCTCACCACATGCTTCTGACTCCTATCTTGGCTTGTTTACACACACACACACACAAACATATTCACACGGACTCATGTTCTTGATTCTGTGAGTTTGGGGAGAAAGGAAGGAAAGAAAGGAAGTTTGAGAGGAAATGGCAGCTTTGCCCCATGTGCTCTTTTGGGCCACCTACATCCATGGAGGTCCTGGATCGCGATGGACAAGTTTTATTTGCTCTCTGGCCAAAAGGAAATACATGTAGGAGAGGCCGTGGGCTGCTCCTTGGCAGAAGCTGGGAAGACGGTGCAGATGGGTGGGGATGAGTCTTAGGGACCCCCCTCCCCATGTGCCACTGCACCTGAAACTGTGGCAAGCAATCAAGGGTGGGGACATCTGACTCAACTGCTCTGTGTGAACATGGGCAACCTCCACCATCTGATCTCTTGGTGGGACCCAGGCGCCAAAGCTGCCTTCCCTGATTAGGGGTTGGGTAACAGCCCAGTTTATCTGTTGCAAGTGACCACCAACCACCTGGATGGTCCCTGAAGGAGCAAAGCTGTTGTTCCTAAATTTGTAAACAGGCTCTTTTGGCCATGAAGTTGCCAGATCAAATGACAAAGCCAACAACCCGCTGCGTTCAAGCATTTTAGTTGAGACTCTAGAAAGAGCAACAAAGGTGATTAGGGGACTGGAGGCTACAACATATAAAGAACGGTTGCAGGAACTGGGTATGTCTAGTTTAATGAAAAGAAGGACTAGGGGAGACATGATAGCAGCCTTCCAATATCTCAGGGGCTGCCCCAAAGAAGAGAGAGAGAAACTATTCTCCAAAGCACCTGAGGGTAGGACAAGAAGCAATGGGTGGAAACTAATCAAGGAGAGAAGCAACCTAGAACTAAGGAGAAACTTCCTGACAGTGAAAATAATTAACTAGTGGAACCACTTGCCTCCAGAGGTTGTAAATGCTCCAACGCTAGAAGTTTTTAAGATGATGTTGGATAACCATTTGAACCGTCTGAAGCAGTGTAGGGTTTCCTGCCTAAGCAGGGGGTTGGACTAGAAGACCTCCAAGGTCCCTTCCAGTGGTCTATTGCTGACCATCCTGGTCCTCGTTGGAAAAACCAGGCGCAGGAGAACATCTATCATCTTAACGCTTCAGCTCTCAGGTGTAAACATCCCATCCTTAATGACCTGCGTGGCTTGATCAGTACTAAACAGATTTGCTTGCCTTAATACAGTCCAGGAGGAATTGTATTGGGGAATTCCCTCATGGTTCTCAGAAGCCGAGTTCATACGCCATGCAAAGTTGCAGCTTGTTTAATCGGAGGTTATTGTGAAAGTTACTGCGCTAAGCCACATATTTAGGTTTACCTCTCGCAGCGTATGGAGCCACATAATCCTCTAAGCCAGCGGTGAGGGACCATGAGCCTTTTACAACTTGTGGACTTCAACTCCCAGAATTCCTGGGCCAGCAAACAGCCATGGCTCCCCCATCCCTGCTCTATGCCAACATCAACCAAGCCCCTCTTGTGTGGCAGCAAAGGACATGGGTGCTCCTCAGTGGTGAAATCCAATTTTTTTACTATTGGTGCTGTAGGCGTAGCTTGGTGGGCATGACTTGGTGGGCATGGCAGGGGAAGGATACTGCAAAATCTCCATTTCCACCCCACTCCAGGGGAAGGATACTGCAAAATCCCCATTCCCTCCCCACTCCTGGGGGAAGGATATTGCAAAATCTCCATTCCCTCCCCACTCTGGGACCAGCCAGAGGTGGTATTTGCCGATTCTCCGAACTGCTCAAAATTTCCGCTACCGGTTCTACAGAACCTGTCAGAACCTGATGGATTTCACCCCTGGTGCTCCCCATAGGTCTAGTGGGCTGATAAAATGTTTGACTAGACTATTGGATCCTAAAATGGGTCAGCTGGATGAAATCAGTGGCTACAAGGCCAGGATTTGCCTCTCATCTTCCCCTTGGTTCCCTAATGGTGGTTGATAACCTAAGAAAGGATGCCCACTTTCATTTCCCTGAGAACCTTCTCCTACAACCTCGCTCAAAAAATCTGGAGAGGACATCTCCCCTCCTTTTCTGCTTTTGAGTAGCAGAAATCCACCAAGGTTGTTTTCTCTTCCAGGTTCTCAGCTTAGCTTGCAGGTCCTTCAGTTGCCCGAATATTAAAGGCAAGAAGTCTTCACAATGGAGTAACAGGATCTTTTCCTCATGTTTTGGAAACAACTGTCCCATCCCGGGATGCAGACATACCAGCTGGGGAATAGAGTCACTGAAAACTTCTAGAAGGATCTCAGTTGCTATACCTCTCCTGGAGGGGTCACAGTCGCACAGACTCTGGGATCTACATGATGGTGAGCACCAGCCCAGAACCTCAGCTGCCCTCTGGGACACCCAGTTCAAAGCATCTCTTGTTTCATACTGTATGTAATGACAACTTGATCATTTCTCCTTGCTGTGGAGCAATCGTCCCTGTCTCCTGGTGGGAACGCCTGCTGATCAGGCACATCACAGCTCAGGTGAACCCAATTAAATCAGGCATTGATCAAATCAGAAATGGGGCAACCAGTGTTGAGCAACAGCTGTTGAGCAAAGTGCTGATTGGCACATTTCATAGCCCTCCTCACCTCGCCCTGCCTCTCCAAAGTGGGGCCAAGCAGCCTCACCCAATTGGAAAATTATTGATGATCTACTGGACTGTTGCAACGTCTCACATAACACCCACACCGATTTTGCTAGTGGTGGAACCAGTCCAGAAAGTTATCTTTTCCAACAGGAGTTTCTACTCCCTAGTTGTAGATGTTTTACATTCACTAGACCTATCTGTTTCTATTTATAGACTGCATAACTGATCAAGATCAGCCTTCCCAACTGGTGTCTTCTACATGGTTATCAAACATGGACAATCTGGGACCTTTAGTCCCAGTGATTCTGGAGTCACCATGAATATAGATCTTCCAGTTCCTTTCCTGGCCAAGCTCAGACTGTGAAATGTTGAGGAGAAACTGGGCACGAGAGAACTAGACTTTCTCTTCAAGGTTAAGACCTCTCATTTCCTTCAACGTCAGAACATACTAGTCAAACACTGGTTGAATGGTCCATTATACAGACACTGCCAGTTCAAGAAAAAGGCCCCATTTAGGAAGAAGTGCCACCAAACCATCTCTAAGAGGACATTATCTCCAAAGCTGAGGAATTTGGACAAGCCCAACCCCAAAGGAGACTTACCAGTGTGGGTCTGCCTGTGACTTTCCAGAGCATCTTCCTTAGAGAATTGTGCACCACAATGATCGCAGAGAAAGGCTTTGGCACCTGCTGTAAGGAAAGAGGAAGAGAGAGAGGGGAAAAAAAATTTACGTTAATATCAAGAAGCCCTGACAAATCATTACAGCAGTCACTAAACTGATTCTGAGACACTGAATTGCGCTCGGCACAGCGACCACAAATTGAGAGATCCCAAAGTAGAGTTGACCATATCCAGGGCAAAAATTACTTTTTAACTGGAATGAATCCATGATCTTCACTCAAATATACATGTTTCCTCTTTCAAGGCATATCACGCTCCTATTCCATCAATATTTGGGGACATTATTGCATTAACATCCCAACTATCAAATATACAGTCCAGAGAAAACTGTACGTAGAGTTGACAAGAGATCTGAACGGATCCCTGATATCCGAGAAGGTTCTTATTTTTGTATTTTTTTCATTTCTGTGGGTTATGGAGATTTGCAAGATTGGTTGTTTTTTTTCAAGCTATCCCAGTATTAAAACCACATTTTAAAATTATTCAGTGGTTGGATCTGTGCTAAGAGCAAGCACCCCACTGCCATCACCAAACTAACCCCCGAATCAGGCTACCGACAAGCTCTGATTTATATGTTTTTGTGGCATTTTATTGGGGTTTTGGAATAAACGAAAATCTAAAGATAAAAGCCATATACTGAACGTTGGTGTAGATCTATATATATATATATAGATCTATAGAAAGATAGGAAGATAGAGAGAGATAGAAATAGAGTATCTATTATATGGCAGATGCTGGGAGTGAATTAGATGGTTTTACTCTCAGCAGATCTCAAGCTGAACAACTGTCAACAGGAACAAAGTCCTGGGGATCTTCCCTGAAAACGACCCCTCCTACATTTTGACAGATACATGATGTAATTGCATGACCATTTCAAAGAGGGCTGGGAGGGCCACCACCCTTGCATGGAGAGTCACTTGGAACATCTGGAGAAGTTCTACGATTAAGAAAAGGAACAGAGATGTTCCCCAGCTGCCTTGTACATCTCCAAAGTGTATTTGACCTCCTCTTCTCTTTTCTCCAGAACTTTTACTTAAAAATAAAATAGGGGAGAAATACAGGATTGGAACTCTGCTTTCCACCACGGGCAGGTAGATCAATGGTGCTGATGAGAAGAGATCCATTCAGTCCAGGTTCCTAGTTGGTGCTCTAATTTCCTTCGTTCTGATGGCCTCCAGTCCTTGAAAAGGACCTCAAGATGGCAGCTGAGAAAGGAGAGGTGGAACCTCTTGTGCTCCTAAGAGGACCTCCCAACCAAACATCAGCAGAGCAACAAGTAGAAGATGGCATTGGCCCTTCCCTTCATAAAGATGGTGGCTCCAGAAGCAGCTGAATCCTCAGGAGATCATTCAATCATTTGCATCAAATGGATCCAGCAATGCTACTCTTGACTGCTTTCCTACAGTGAGCTAAACTCGGGACCGAGGGATCCAGAAGATCCCTTTCCCGTCTACCTTACACACAGAGGCAGAAATTCAGTGGACTTAGAAACGGTCAGTGCTTACTACAGATAGTCCCCGACTTACGATTGCAATTGAGCCCAAGTCGCTAAGTGAGAAATTTGTTAAAGTGAGTTTTGCCCCAGTTTATGACATGTCTCACCACTAAGTGAATCACCGCAGTTCTTAAATTAGTAACACGGTTGTTAAGTGAATCTGGTTTCCCCCATTGACTTTGCTCGCTCACCACGGCAACTGTCATAAATGCGAATCAGTTGTCCAACCTCCAAATGTAGATCACGTGACTGTGGGGACCCTGCAATGGTCGTAAGTGTGAAAAATGGTCATAAATCTCTTTTCTCAGTGCCATTGCAACTACGAACGGCCACTGAATTGTTGTAAGTCAAGGACCGCCTGCATTCCACTCCACAAAGATCCCTGAATGGACACAATGAATAATCAAAAATATAAGACTCCCCAAAATGCAACTTGTCCCATCACCCAAAGATCCCAGTAGTGGCCAAAATTGTGGAAACCTTTTGACGGAAAGTGTATTTTCTAAAACTAGGTCATAACACTGCTTTTTTTTTTTTTTTGGGAGTAGTACCATAAAATTATATATCAACGGAAAGATAATTTAATCAAGAATGTAATGCGATAACTTTTATGAAGGGTTTGCTATTAGAATAGCCGTTACATAATAAAGAAGAAAAGTGAAACACATAGAAAAAACAAGATATGCAAAAATGATCACCCTGTCAGTTAATCCTTAGTTGGGTAACCTTTAGCATGAATGACGGCCTTACAACGTCTTCCCATGGAGTGAGCCAAGTCTTTGAGTTCTGCAGCTGCTATCATGTGAAACCAAGATTGAAGGATGGCTTCTATTAACTGGGTTTTATTGCTGGGTCGCTTCTGACTAACCAGTTTCTTTAGTCGGCTCCATAGAATTTTCAATTGGGTTAAGGTAATCTGGGCTATTCCCAGGCCATCCCATCAGTGGAATAGGATTCTCTTGAAACTCCAAAGAAAAAGTGGTGTTATTAGCCATCAAATCTCAAAAACACACTTTCCACAATTTTGGCCACTACTGTATAATGGTGCTGCTACGGACAGGCTCAGATGCCTTTCCAGAAAACAAAAGAGCCAGAAGAGCAGAAAAAAAATTCACCTGAACTGGAACGGCAGAGAACTTTATGGGCTGCCTAGGCCAATCCTAACATCCAAACTTTGTGGATGGAAGGAACAGCCACGCACATACACAACACAGAAGTCGGAAACACCACGCAGGAGAAATGAACACTAATGGAGCTTGCTCCCAGGAAGTTCGTTCTGTACTTGGGAATGGCCTCAACAGAGCATCTCCAGGCCCTTTGGAGAAGGAGGATACGGCCTCCTAAGCCTCTTAAGTCCAGGAGGAAAGCAGGCAAGCAACCTAACTGGCACAGAAGGCAGATGCCAGGGCTAAAAAGAAATTAAAAGGCAGTGCCAGGCCAGGGGAAAGCGTGGAGGGCTCCACGTGGCGTGGTTAGCTTGTCAGTCTGCCGCCATCTGGTCTTCGGGGTACCTGAAATACTCCGGGCATGGGGGCCAAAAATGCCCCTCCCCACTTTTTGTGGAATTCCTGGCACAACCGCTTGGGAGAGCTGGCTGAGCTCGACGGATAGGATCCAGCAAAGCAGATATGGGATTATCTGGGCAGTGTGAGTTTCAATGTGGACACAAAGTCTTCTCTTTTGCAAATAAAAGAAGGAGAGAAAAAAAGAAAGAAAGAAAGGTAATGCAAAACAAACCCAGCGTTTCCAGCGAGAACGAACAGGCTTCAACATCCTGATTATGTCAGCGTGGTAAGCAGTCTTGTTTTTCCGTGCCTTCCAACGCTCCCCTAATGATCACAACACGCCGTCAGCACACAAAAGGCTCGAGACAACGGCAGCGACACTATCAGATAAGAACGACACACCAGACCGAAAGATAATTTCCACAACCAGCGTTAAGGTGTGGCATTTGTGGGATTTCTTAGAAAATGCATAGCAAGGCAGGAGGCGACTGTTCGCTTGGCAGGGCCCCGGTTATCACAAGGAGAAGGAGCACGCGGGGCCTCTGCACAGCCCTTGGGGAGAAGAATGAAGAAGCCCTTGGAGAGACTCGGCCAAAGTGATGAACTCAAGGGTTACACCTGGAAGTTTCGATTCACCGCTTCCAAGAGATGCTGAGACCCAGCCTTGAGGGACAGCCTGGTCTGAAGAAAGAAAGAAAGAAAGAAAGAAAGAAAGAAAGAAAGAAAGAAAGAAAGAAAGAAAGAAGCGAGGGAGGGAGGGAGGGAGGGAGGGGAAAGAAAGAAAAAAGAAAAAGAAAGAAAGAAAGAAAAGAAAGAAAGAAAAGTGAGGGAGGGAGGGAGGGAGGAAGAAGAAAGGAAGAAAGGAAGAAAGAAAGGGGCAAGGGAGGGAGGAAAAAGAAAGAAAAAAGAAAAAGGAAAAAAGCAAGGAAGGAAGGAAGAAAGGAGCGAGGGAGGAAGAAGAAGAAAGGAAGAAAGAGAGAGAGAGAAAGAGAGAGAAAGTGGGGGCGATTTCATCTTTAAGGAAGGGATGGCTCTCCTAGAAGAACCCCAAGTTTGAGAAAGAGGGTGACTTCTCCCAGCAACAGCTGGAGGCCTACCACTCGGAGGCCCCCTTTTCTTTCCCTACAGAGCAGCTCCCGGTGCTCTTCCAGAAAACTGAAGCCTCGTTGGGCTAGAGCAGCCTCCAACACCAACCAGGCCATGCAGGCACTCTCATCCCCATCTGGCCAGCTGTGCCACAGGTTGGCCAAAGCTATTCCAGCAGGCACCGTTTCCCCGTGTCTCCAGCCAGGCGCTGAGAAACGTGGTGCACCGGCGAGAGTAGAGCGGATGGGGATGAGTTAATGTCACTGACTACGGATTGACTACAGAGAAGTTGGAGGTGGTTTTGGGTTTTGGGGGGTCTGTTCCTCAGCTCCTTCCAGAGGCTGGCCGTGTGTGGACCTCTGCTGAAGACATGGCAGAAGAGAGTTAAGACCTCTAGAAGGCTTCTCCCTATACGATCCGTCCGTGGCAAAACGGAACCGAGCAGGGCCTGATGGGTTGCCTTATCCTTAGCCCTCCGTGCCTCGGTCGTCCCACCCCGGAGACCCTCCCAGGCGCCTGTCACGACCCTCCGAGCCCCACGGCAGGGTGGACCCCCAGAAGGGAGGAAAATAAAACAGATGCCCCTCGCTCCACACCCCTTCCCCATCCCCGCCGGAGAATAATTCCCCTGCCTTTAAATTGCCTCAGTAACGGCTGGCTCAGAGGCAGAAAAATTTGGCAGCAGTGAAATTAAAAGTGATAAATTTTCTCGCCAAGCTTTGATCGATAATAAAGGCCTCATCTGTTAATCAATAAGACAGTCTGCCTGTTTACTGTGCATAAGCCGTTCCCGGCTGCTTTGGGGGGGGGGGGGGGGAAAGAGGGGGGGGGGGGGAGAGATGTCAAGTTTGCATTCAAAACAACTCAAGTGTACCTAAGCCAAATGGCCCGGCCCTCAAAAGAAAGCAGAATCCAGGGGGCT